CAAGGGAATGGCTCTGCAAAAGGCTCATAGCTTCTTGATAACTAAATCCAAAGATGTGAAATTTTTTAAATGGCTTACAAAGATATTCAAAAATTATCAATGACCTCAAAGAGTGTTAAAAAACAGATAAATGAAGTAAGGAAATCAATTCAAGAAAGTCAACAAAATGATTGTGAAATTCATCAAGGAAGCTAAGATTCTGAAAACAAACAAACAAATGGAATTTTTTAAATTAAATACTCAATAGATCAAACAGAAACGCAATGGAAAATACTGCCAATTCAATAGAAGAAGCAAAAGAAAGAAAATCAGTAATTAAAAACAGTAGAACAAATATTATATTTAGACAAATTTTAAGGACACTGGGACACAACCAAGAGATAAAACCTAAGGATACATGGGGTAGAAGAAGGAGCTGTGATACACACTGAAGGCACAGAAAAATTCTATTCAGAGGAATTATAGCAGAAAAATATACCAAATCTAAGAAAAATATAAATACTCAAGTACAGGAGGCATTTAGGACCTCAAATAGATACAAACAGAAAAGTACCTCTCCAGATAACATTACATTCAAATGCCAAGAGTAGAGAAGAAATAAAGAATATTGAAAGTTGCATAAGAAAAATGTCAACTTACTTACAAAGGCCAACTCATCAGAATTGCATCAGACCTTTCAGGAAAAATCCTACCCACTAAAAAAATAAACCATGGAACGATATACTTCAGTCCCTGAAAATAAGCAACTGGCAACAAAGATAAATAGATATACCCAAAGTTATCATATAAAATCGTTGGAGGTATTAAGACCCTCCAACACAATCACAAACTGAAATAATTTATAACCTCTATGCAAGCATTGTAGGAGATAACTGAATAGTCCTACATACAAGTGAAGAAGAAAGTCACAAAAATGAGATATGGGAAGAATAAATTTAATGAAAGGAGATACAATATGTAGAATAGCACCAAATATGTTAAAATCAATAAACAGCAACAACTAATGTGGATAAAGGAAGAAGAAAAGAACACATAGTACTCTTGTGAATGAACCAAGAAAACTAAATTGAATTACAGGAATCAGCAAATGCATCTCAATTCCAACCCTTAATGAATTTGTCTTATCTCTCCAAATCAAAGATATACACTGGTTGGTTGGATTAAAACACAAATCCAACTGTTTGCTGCCTACACTAAACACACCTCACCAACAAAGACACACACAGACTGAAAGACCTAGAAGGTAACACACGTGCACAGGAAATCAATGTGAGTCAACTCCCTGTATAGCTATCCTTATCTCAACCAGCAAAAACCCTTGTCCCTTCCTGTTATTGCTTTTACTCTCTCTACAACAAAGTTAGAAATAAGGGCAAAATAGTTTCTGCTGGGTATTGAGGAGGGGGGAGAGGGAGGGTGCGGAGTGGGTGGTAAGGGAGGGGTTGGGGGCAGGGGGGAGAAATGAACCAAGCCTTGTATGCACATATGAATAATAAAAGAAAAAGGAAAAAAAAAAGAAGGGAAAAACAATATGCCATGCACATGGAAGCTGACAGCATAAAGGGGTAGCTGTGTTCATGTGTGATAAAATAGACCACAAGTAAAAATTAGTGATAAGAGAAGCAGAAGGTCACTATATACTATTACAAGGAACAATCCATCAAGAAGGTATAATGATTATAGAAAAATGGTATTCCTAATATCATAAAACAAATAGTACTGGACATAAAGAAATATATCAAGATCCAATAAGAGTGGGTGACTTAAATACCTCACTCTCATCAACAGATTGTCAACACAAAAAATTCAACAAAAAACTCCACCATGAATCAAATGGACTTGTACACATATGTAGCTTATCACATCCACTACCTGTGGAATGTACATTTTTCTGAAGAGCCCATGGAACTTTCTCCAAAATAGGTCACATTTTAGACATAAATCATCATATCAAATATAGGAAAATTAAAATAATATTATCAGATTATTATGTAATAAAATAAGACAGCAAGTGCAAAAGGAAGTACTGAAAATGTATACAAACTTTAAGTTTAAACAATACATTTTTGATTGATCAGTGAGTCATTGAAGAAATCTGGGATGACAATGAAAATGCAACATACCAGAAATTGTGCACTACAGCAAAGATATTTCTAAAGGGAATATTATAATACAGATCAGGATAGATATTAATTAAATGGAAACTAAAAGAATGATACAAAGGATCAGTGAATCAAAGAGATTCTTCTTTCAGTAAACAAGAGTGAAAAACCCTTATCTAAACTAACCAAAAGAAAGTGAGAGACGACCCAAATTAATAAAATTGGAGATGAAGCAAGGATACTACAACAGGGAATAATGAAATCCACAAAAACACTAAGGAGTTTTAAAAATTATTTTTGTAATGAATTGGAAAATCTAGAATGAAGAGATAAATTTCAAGATGTATATAGTCTACCAAAATTGAATGGAGACGATACAGACAACTTCAACAGATTTTGTAAGAAGCAATGGAATCAAACAGTTATAAACAGTCTCCCAACAAAGAAAAAACTGGGACAAGATGGATTCACTGCTAAAATCTACCTGACTTTAAAAGAACTAACAGCAATACTCCTCAAACAATCCCATAAAGTTGAAAGGGAAGGGAAACTATCAAATTCATTTTCTGCTGTCTTCATTACCAAGATATCAAAACTTAATAAGGACATGTCAAAAAAATCATTAAAAGAGAACTATGGACTATTTTCTTGAATAATATAAATGTGAAAATTCTCAATAAAATAGTTAAAAATTGAATACAACAACATATTATAAAGACATTCACCATAATCAAGTTATGTTCTTCCATATAATGCAAGAATGGATAAACAAACACAAATCCATGAACATAATACAAAGCAATTATATTAAATACAATCAAAAATCACATGTCATTCTCAATAGCTGCAGAATAACCCTTTTACAATTAAGAATCCCTGAAGAAAAGAACAGAGGTAATATACTTTAACAACATAATGACCATGTAAGACCTCCTTATCAATCATATTATACTAAATGGGGGAAAATTGGAAGTATTTCCTCTAAAACTAGGAACAAGAGCAGGTTGTACATTCTCTCCACTATTGTTCAGTATAGAGCTTCAATTCTTAACCAGAGCAATAAGGAAAAAGAGAAATAAAGGGAATAAAAGTAGAAAATAAGTAGCAAAATTATTCCTGTTTGCAGATGACTTGGTACCTAAAAGACTCTCAGGACTCCACAAGAAAATTGTAGATTTGATAAACATTTTCAGCAAAGTAGCAGAATATGAAATTGGCATACAAAAACATTAGCTTTCCTGTATACCAATAACAAATATCTTGAGAATGAAACCAGAAAAAAATCCTATTTACAGTACCCTTAATGTTAATAAATCTAACCAAGGAGGCAAAAATTTATAAAATGAAAACTACAAAACACTGAAGAAAAAATCTTGTAGAGGACTCTAGAAGATGGAAAGAACTAACACATTTACAGACTGGCATAACTGACACTATTCAAATGAATATATTATTGAAAGTAGCCTACAGACTCAATGCAATTTCCATGAAAACTCCAATGATATTCTTCACATAAATAAAAGAAACAATCCAAAAGCTCATACAGAAGCAAAAAATACCATGATTAGCCAAAGTAATTCTTAGCAAAATGAACAATGCTGGAGGTATCACAATACCCAGTTTCAAATTATACTACAGAGCCAAACAATAAAAATAGCATGGTATGGCACAAAGAGATGAAGACTAATAGATAAGACTAGAAGACCCAGACATGAACCTACACAGCTACAGTCATCTAATGCTAAACAAGGATGTCAAATACGTACGTTGTGGAAAAGACAGGCTCTTCAACAAATCATATTCAAAAAACTGAATATCCACATAGGGAAGACGGGCATTAGGTCCTTAACTCACCCTGAAAAAAATCTATTCGATATGGATTAAAACTTTGCTAATAGACCAGGATATTTTTTTCAGACATTTATTCATTAAATTTCAATCACTAAAATAATAATTGTGGCATAGATAACTTAAATATTGTTTTTTATTTTAAAAGTTTAAGAATTTTATTTTGAAAAATGATATATAAATACACTTAAATGTATAAATGGTATGATTGTTTGAATACAATAATGTCCTATAATAATTCATGAAAATAACACTGTCTTCGAAAGATTAGTCAATAAATATATTAAATTTGAACTTTTATTTTTAATCATGTACACTATAAAGACTACATTTCAGGCACACAAATACACTAGCAACAAATTAAAGAATATATTCTTGTCTATATTTCTAACATTAACAAAGGAAATAATACTAAACTTTTTTTCCTTTTATTGAAATCCAAAGAAAGGTAATCTCAATAATTATTCCTTATGCAGATTACCACTGTTTTTTCATTTTCTTTTCTGTTTCAATCTTACTTGTACCATTGCTAATCCTTGGATACTATGCTAGGTTAAGGATAAAATACTATTCCATTTTCTGTTGACAAAAGTAAAAGAAAGTTTGAGTAGAGCAGTCAATGCTACAGAAACTCAAGTCATGCACTGGTGGCTCATGTGGTCCAGGACAGCCCAGGCAAAAGTATGAGAGACCAGATCCATTCAGAAAAATCTGGGCATGGTGTGTGCCTGTTACACCAGCTATTGAGAAAAGTATAAATAGGATCATGAGCCAGGCTGTCCCTTGGCAAAAAAAGTAAGACTCTTTCTCCAAAATAACTACAGCAAGTACTGCAGGTATGGCTCAAGCAGTAGAACACATGGCAAGCAGCTTGAAACCCTGAGTTCACAACCCCAGAAAACAACTGCTAAAATAAGAAGATATGGAGACACACTTTTCCAAATTAAGTTAGGGGAAATTCAGAAGAAATGCATAATAGGCTATCTAACAAAATTGAAGGCATAGGAAGATTGATTGGACAATACACCAATAAGAATGACCATTGAGTTTCTAGGCATCACGCATTTTCCTTGAAATCCACATATGGCTCATGAATCTTGTAATAGAAATTTTCATTTCTGTATTTCTCAGTGTATAAATGGCTGGATTTAGTAGAGGTGTAATAACAGAGTAAAACACAGCCAGAAATTTGTCCATCCAGGAGATGTTGAGTAGCCAAACGTAGATGAAGATGCAGGGTCCAAAGAAGAGCACCACCACCGTGATGTGGGCAGTGCAAGTGGAGAGTGCCTTGGATGCACCAGTTTTAGAGCTTTGGTGGACAATGGCAAGAATATATGTATAGGATGTCAGCAACAGAATAAAGCATGTTATAGCCACAATGCCACAGTCAATATTCATTAAAATTTTCAACTCATAGGAATCCATGCAGGCTAGGTTGATTACCAGTGGTCTATCACAGAAGAAACTGTCTATTTTCCTGGGTCCACAGAAAGGAAGCTGCACAATTACAAAAATTTGACTTATGGCATGTACAAAGCCCACAGTCCAGCCAGTCACTATCAGTCCAATGCACTTTTGCAGGCTCATAATGGTGAAGTAGTGGAGTGGTTTGCAGATGGCTACATAGCGGTTATAGGCCATTGCCACTAGGAGCACCATCTCAAGTCCTGCAATGAAATGGGAAAAGAAGATTTGGGCCATGCTGCCTCCAAAAGAAATGGTCTTGTTCTCCCTGAGAAAATCTCCAATCATCTTAGGAGTGCTGTTTGAGGAAAGCCACATATCAACAAAGGACAGGTTAGCCAAAAATAAATACATAGGGGAATGAAGACGGGGATCAGTGATGACTAATATTATGATAATAACATTTCCAGAGACAATGATTAGGTAAAGCATCAAAACGAAAATTACAAGAAAAATCTTGGCCGATTTCATTATGCCCTAAAGAGAGACTGTTTTTAAGTAGTAGAATTTAAGACGGGATTGTTGTACAAATAATTTGGACAGTACTCTTGTAAGAGAATCAAGAAAGCAGAACAACAAGATGAGAAACCTAAGAAAAAGATTGTTGTACATCTGACAATTAGCTCTGATCCTTTAATACTATAAAAAGAACCTGAATAAGGGTCAACCAACATTCATTATATTGAATAAAAAGCTAACTCACGTACTTAAGAAGATGAATGCGAACAAGTATTAAAATCCAGTAACACAAAATCATACATTGCTACTTCTCTGTCATGTGTAAAACTATTTCTTCAATCGCCTATGGAATCTATTCTATAAGACATCTTAAATCTAATTTTTATCTCAAGCCTCTAGAGTATATTTAGGGAGAAACTAAGAGTGAAGATACATAGAAAGCATACAATAAAAGTTTTGGAATGATAATTCCATTGTAAAATCAGGCATATAATTAAATCACTATTTAAAATCTACAATGTCATGGAAATTAGAAAATACTGTCAGTGAAAGCTTATGTGGTAAGAGATGAACTAAAATAAAGGCAATTTAAACATAGATTTAGCCTTGGTGAACTTTGAATGGAAAACTTTCACTTACATAAACACATGGTAAGTAATCCCCAGGCTTTGAAACATTTCCATCTCCTTACTGATAAACTTAAAACATCTATTAATCTGCTTCTTGTTTGTACATCTGTCTTCATATTTATATATATATCTATTTTTGACCTACGCAGGGTGTTTTGTGATACTGGAATTTGAACTCAGGGCCTTTTGCTTGCAATGCAGAAGTTCTACCATTTCAGTGATGAATCCATTGTATTTTCTGTTTTTGTTATCTTTTTAGATAGGGTTTTATGTGTTTGGTTAGACCTGGCCTCAGACCATGGTCCTCCTTCTTATGACTTATGACTCTCATGGAGCTGGGATTACAAGTACATGCCACCACTGACTGACTTATTTGTTGAGATAGGGGCCTTATTAACAATTTGTTCAGGCTCACGTTGAGCCAATTTTCCCAATCTCTACCATCTGAGTGGTATGATTACAAGCATGAAACACTAGATTCTGTAAATTTATATTTTCTAAGATGACAAATTTTCTTTATGTGTAAACAAAGTACATATTTGAGAGTGCTGAGTGGAGATGACAGTTAAGTTATATGTGTTTAATGGAAATAATGATAGTGCTTATGTTAATATCTATATACATCACATAATCTCAAGATTGATGGTGAAAAGATAATTTCCAAGTTTTGTTTCCATTTATTATTTCTCTCTCTTGGCATTGTTTCAGATTTTGTGTATCTTTCCTTAGTTTATAATTTGAAATCTCCAGGCTGGTGCCAAGGAGAGCAGGTAAACAAGGAAAACTCCTACTTCAGCGTGAGCACTACTTCCCTTATATAAATAAGAACTCAGAAGCTTAAATTACAGATTGCAAGAAAGAACTAAGAAATTAGTTAAAAATATACTTGTATACTAGTTAACCCATATACTTCCTGTACTAGTTAATACATATGTTTATTTGTAAATTACAAACACTCACTGTTATAGATGTTATTTTCCTAATTTCTAAAGAAAATATCCTGATATTTTACACTCGTTATGTTTATGACTTCTGAGAATCATGAATAATTTGAACATTTTTATGACTCATTTTCTTGTCCAGGCTAAACTTACTAGCATTTTTCAATAACTTGGAAATTGCAGCCATAATAATTAATGCTGAGTAAATAGAAGATGGATAGGTAATAGAAGGTAGATAATAGCAGGTAATAGAAGGTAGATAATCACAAAACCAGGATTCCAAATGAATTTGAGGAACAAATTTCCCAAAAGATGATTATTTACATTACCAGAGAATTCACCAATAAAAATAACACTGCTTTTAGATTAGTTTTGCAATTGTTAATATTTCACATTTTTAGTACACTGATGATATTACCCTGTTAATGTTAGTTGTTGCATAAAAAATTAGTAGAATAACAACACTTTTAATTACTCAGATGTAGTCAAATTTGCTTCTACTTTAATTGACCTTGAGACCTCTAACTGAACCTGTTTTGTTTCCATTTGTACCTCTGTAAAAAGGACACTTGATCTAATAATGTGTTTTGAAGAAGAATCAGAGCATATACAAAACACTTAAATTCTTCCAGTTCTTCTTGAATGTTAATGCATATTAATGATTTCTCCCTTTTTGTCATTAAAACTCATCGTTACAAAGTGGTTTTCAAATATTCTTGACAAAATTTTATTGTACAGCTGAATACTTCGATAAGCAGAATATAGATGATAAATCTTCTTTAAAATACATTCTACTTACGTTTCCATTAAATTAACCTGCATTTACTCAGAAACACTTTAGGATACACGATTGCAGAGTATTTAGCTTACATGCTGTTTGTGTCTCAAGAACTCTATATTCACCCTTCTCTGTGCCCCTCTCGGGAGGATTTAATAGTGTAGAAAGGGGACCTACAAGAGCCAATAAAAATTCTATTATTGTAATTTAAAAAATTTTTCTCAAAAATTTTATTAGCATACATTAGTTGTACAAGAGATAATCATTGTGACATTTCTGAATATGCTAAAATTGTAGATTGTACATTGTCTCTCTCACCGTCTTCTCCCCTACTTAAACCAATTGCAAAAAGTTTCATTTTTCAATTTCACAAAAGTACATCTAACATATTTCCCCTCCTTTATCCCCTCCATTAACCCATACCTCTTCTCACTAAAAATAGGTCACAGGACCTATTTTACAATTCTGAAAACAGAAAAATTCTCACAATGGGAGAGAGGTTCATTCATTCATTGGTCAATGAAAAATGATGGAGAGGAAACAGTTACTCTTTTAGGAATGTGAAAATGAACAACAAAATTTTATAACACTTCTGTACACAATGTCCTCTCATAATTTTCTATTGCATTAAGTTCTTTGAGAGTCTCTAATTTTTACAAATAAAACTTGGAGTAGAGAATTTAAGAGATTTTCTTGAGTTAAACACTACGTGGGGGAAAGTCTAATATTTTCCAGTGTCCCATCCTTTTCCTCAGCTATGTATTTTAATTTATTTCTATGGTAATATCATTTCTCACTCATTATATAAACATTTTGCTTTTATGTCTAACCCAAAAGTTTCTTTGTTCTTTCATTGACAATTCAGAAAGCATCCCTGAGGTAGAGCATTCTAATGCTGCATACACCGTCATTAATAAGATTGTGGAGATTCCAGTAGAAGTAAGAGAGGAGGAGGAGAAAAATGTTTGAATTGTTTTACAACACTGTCAGAAGCTAAATAAGGCATCACCTCCAATCTTAGTGAGTTTGCATAAAACAGAATCATAGATGAACATTTTAAATATCTGGCAGAAGAGGGTCAGAAAGATGATACAACTTACTTAACTCAATTTTTTCTCTCTCAGACTCTTTTTTTATTCTTCACTTCTGATGTGTGTGTCTGTGTTGGACATACTGCCTGTGGATGTGCTTCACCTCATCCACATATTCGCTACCTGACAAAATCCCTTGGGTTTAATTTTCCTGCTCTACATGGAACTAAAACAGAACATGGAAATTATTTTCCGTGGACATCTCTTGGGGACTTGTTTGATAATAGGGACTTCATGTGGTGCACATTCTGGAAATCAGACCAGGAAGAAATTAAATTTCATCTAAACCAACTCAGCATTAAAAATTCATGACTTAAAAATCATTCTCCTTCTAATAAATCAGATTCAAGTAATATTTCAATTTCAGGTGATTCATCTTCCACAGACAAACCATATCTTGTTTGCTGTGATATATGCTCATCAGCAAAACCTCCAAGTGGGTAGAGTGCCAAATCCATTTCATAGTTATCCAAATAGGCAGTTATTCTCAGTTAATATGACAAATCTTTTTTTTTTTTTTTTAACCACACGGGGCTTGAACTCAGTGCTAATACCTTGAGCCACTCCACCAGCTCTTTTTTTGTGATGGGGTTTTTGAGATAGGGTCTCACAAGCTATTTTCCCAGGCTGGCTTCAAACCGTGATCCTCCTGATGTCTGCCTCCTGAGTAGCTAGGATTACAGGTGTGAGCCAGTGGTGCCAAGCAAAGACCAAACTCTTTTTTTATGGTGCAACTGGTGCTTGCACTCAGGACTTTCGCTTGCAAAGCAGGTGCTCTACCACTTGAGCAACATCTCCAGAAAAATCTTTGTCCAAGTTATAGGTGATAAATTGACATCCTGAAGAGTTATATGTTTAATTTATTTTTACATGTTATATTTTAACATGACTTTATTATTGTGAGTGTCATGAAGTAATCTGTCCACAGGTAAGTGTACAATTGTTAAGTATAGACATATGTATGTAGTCATGGAAAGATCATGGCAGACATGATAGAGAACATATCCCCAGTTCCCCAAATTTCCCTTATCCCTTAACTTTCACCCTTTCCTTTCTCTCCACACATGTACCCTCCCAGTTCACCAATATCAGTTATATTAGTTTTTAGTTTACATTTAGAAGAGTTTTATACTAATAGAATAAAATTTCCTATTCTTGTTTTATTTAATTCCTTTCACTTATTTTCATATACCCTTACATCAATGACTAGTATTTCATTGTACCTATATAACAGGATTAGGCTACTGAATCAGCTGTTGATGGAAATTTAGGTTGTTTCCAAGTCATGATAATTACACATAAAGACAAATAAATTTGTATTTGTTCAAATCACTATGTGACTTGAATAATTTTTTTCTCTTTTTCCTTTGGTGGAAATCAGGATTTGGGTCAGGCATTCTGCAACTTATGTCATGCTGTGGGCCTTTTGCTTTTACTTTGAATGGAGCCTCATACCTTGAACTTCCTGTCCTTGGGCTTTCATGTAGCTGACCTCAAAAAATGATTCTTCTGATTGCTGCCTTGTGAGTAGCTCAGATTATAGGCATGAGCAACTACACCTGGGAAATACTTAAGACTTTTAATGGCCTACAATACAGGCCGACTTAGCAAATATTTTGTGTGCACTTGAAAAGTATCTTTTGGTCACCTAAGCAAACCATGAAAGTAGAGGAATATAGTTCATCTTCACATGCCAAAGGAGGTGCTCCATTTCCTGGTGATTTGTGTGTTTGTATGCAATAAGATGCTATAACCCAAATTCATTTGAGAACAAACTCAAACTTTTTAAATTTCAAACTTTGCATATAATTGGGAGCATTCATCTTCATACAACTACATTAAGAAGTTCTGTTTTAGTTACGAATGAGGTGCAGAATTTTGAAGGGGCTGTGATCCAGCAGATATAAGGATACTTTGGATAGGTAAGTCAGTGAGGTTTGTAGTTGGTATACTTTGAAAAACTCAGATTTAAAAATCTATACATTATATCTTTAGATTTATGCAAATAACACATATTTGATGATAGATGAAGCATTCAGGCTGAGGATGTCATTCTTATTATTTAATCCTGATAAAACTAGAAGTGAATTTGGCTCGAACTGGAGATTTATGTAGTGTGTGCATATGTATATGTGTGTGTGTGTGTGTCTGTATCTGTGTGTGTCTCTGTCTGTGATTGTGTGTGTGTGTGTGTGTGTGTGTGTGTGAGAGAGAGAGAGAGAGAGAGAGACAGAAAGAGACTATCAGAGAGAGCTCATAAAATGCTGAGTAAGAAGGAGAATAATTAGGAAGGACTATGGAAGATTAGAGATATCTGTATTGTCCTGTCACCCTGAGATGTAAGGAAAACAGGACATGTGGGGTTGCAGGGAGAGGGGATGTGACATGGAAAGTCATGGTACCCTAACAATCCATAGTGCCCTGATGAAATCCATGACCCTCTTCATCTAACACTGAATCAAAATCGGAATCATCTTTGGACTGACTTTTAGTTTTAGGTGAAAATTTATCCTCATAAGGTAGGGATGATGACTGAGCAGCTCCACCAACCACAGCATCTTGTTCCTTCAAGGGATGCTGCCTCTCACACTCCTGTATGACTGGTTGCAAGGGGTGAGTCCCACATCCTGGCTCAGCTACCAAGGAGGAAAATCTTTGTTTATGTGAGGGGGTAGGATCTAAACAATCTCTAATCATGGACCACACCCAAAAGTAACATAGATCCATGTTTCTAAATTTACTGTTCCCTCCTCAGGGAACCATGGAGAATTGTCCTGTTACCTTACTTCTTTTCTATTACTTTGCTTCTTTTCTATTACCTTGCTTCTTTTCTATTACCTTAATTCTTTTTTATTATGTTATTTTTTTTTCTATTACCATACTTCTTTTGTATTACACTACTTATTTCCTATTACCTTACTTCTTTTCTATTATGCATGTGCTTCTCAGAGACTGGCTCCTCGTCTCAGGTTTTGAGTTCTTGCACAAAATCTAAAAACTGCATCAGCATAACTCTTAAAGTCTCAGTCCTTAGACTCACACTGCCCATGTTTTTATACCTGATTGTATTCAATTCACTTCCTCTAATCTCTAGCGTAACTCTTAAAGTCTCAGTCCTTTGACTCACACTGTCCCATATTTTTATACCTGACTATATTCAGTTCACTCTTCCCCTCACTTTACTTCTTTTCTATTATGTGTGCACTTCTCAGAGAGTGTCTCCTCATCTCAGGATTTGGGTTCTCTCAGAGATAGGTCCTTGTTTGGGCACCACTTCTCATGGCCTTCTCAAGCTCATACTAGAAACATAACTGGGAGTGATGGGAGATTAAAAAGGACAAAAGACAGAAGACAAACATGCAGAAAGCTGGGGTCAGGTGGGCTGGGTGCTCTGGTGGAGACACACAGCAGCCTTGTCCACCTCCAGCAAGTTTATTATATGCAGTAGCAAACCATGAAGTAGAGCAATAGTTCTTGGGGCCCCATGACATTGTAGTTTTCAAGAACAGGAGGAACCTGCTATTGCTACTCTCTTGACATAAACATCTTAGGAAAAGCAGTTGTGCTGCACTTTGCCCTTGCCCCCTTCTGCAGCTGGGGGCTGTGCAAACTCAGATTATTTGACATAGCTGTGCTATATCAAGTTCTCATAGGCGTCTCATAATCCGTTCTCCACATTTAATAACCAGAGTATATGGGAAGCCCAAAAAACTAAACTTGCAAAGAATCAATGGTCCAATGAAGAAATGCACAAATGAAATGAGTAGAAAATTCTCAATAGGTGAACTACAAATGGCCAATAATTATATGAAGAAATGCACAACATCTTTGGTCATAAGGGAACTGAATATCAAAATAACATTGGGATTTCATCTCACACCAGTCTGAATGGCTATTATGAAGATCACAAATAATAGGAAATGCTGGCAAGGAAGCAGAGAAAAAGGGACCCTTACTCACTGTTGGTGAGAATGTAAATTAGTGCAACCACTATGGAAAACAGTATGGAGATTCCTCAAAAAACTAAAAATAGACCTACCATAAGATCCATTAAACACCATTCTTGGCCATATACCTGAAGGAATGTAGTATAAGATACAATAGAGCCACTTGGACACCCATGATTAATGCATCTGTATCTACAATAGCTAAGCATTGGAAACAGTGAGATGTCTCACAAGTAGTGAATAAATTAAGAAAATATGGTATATGTACACAATGGATTATCATTTGGCCATAAAGAAGAATGCAAATATGTTGTTTGCAGGTAAATGGATAGATCTGGAGATCATCATGTTTAGCAAAGTAAGTCATATGTGGAAGCTAGACCTAATGTATTAAAGTATATATATATATACATATATATATATATATATATATATATATATATAGAGAGAGAGAGAGAGAGAGAGAGAGAGAGAGTAATAGATCTGTCAGAGAGCACCAGGGCAGACAGAAGTGGAAAAGAGAATGATACAGTGAATAATATCAAAATATATTACATCTATGTATGAAGATAGCATAATGAAATGCACTGAAAACTGTTGAATAATAGGGGAGCAGGGCAGTTCTGCCATTATTTTACCCTCAGACCCCTACACCATGTGGCTTGAGGCTCATACTTTCCACATAAGAAGATTGTGTCTGTGCATCTAAGTCCAAGTTACAACCAGTTTTCAGCATCCGCACTGATTTTCAGAGTGGTGCTTGCCCAATCTGTTGAAGGGGGAAAGCATTTGGGGCTTGGAGATATAAAAGTAAAGTACAATATGTACATGTTTGAAATACCATGACCCTATTTAACAATCAATACATATTTAAAAAATGAAGGAAAAGAAGGTAAAATAGGTCCACTTGGGGTTGGATACCAGTGGAAGGGAGAGGGCAAACAGGGTAAAAGAAGGTGAATATGGTCAATTTACTTTGTATGTATGTATGAAAATAGATAAGTTAAACCTGTTGAAATTGTTCTAAGAGAAGGGTGTGGAATGAGTGACAATTGTAGAAGAGGAAAATTGAATTATGATATCTTGTAAGTACATACACAAATGCCACAGTAAAACACCACTGTACAGCTAATATATGCTAATAAAAATATGCTAAGAGTCTGGGAAAAATAAAGAACTTATAAAATCAAAGTGTGGTAAATAAAATGTGCAAACTTCTTCTCTTAGAACCTGAGTAAAACACATAAATTAGAAGAGCACTAGGATTCATCTTTAGTGCAAGAATGTCACCCATGACCATGTTAAATACTTCTCCCAGTAGAAAAGCAATAATTCAGCCCCCACTTTTTCTTCATGTCAATGAGCCTAGAGAACGAATGAAGTGAATGTAGTCCCAGAAGTGCTGAATGAGTCACAGTCAGTAAAAGTCTGGTCCTTGTTATTCATCCATAGTAGGGAACAAAAACAGTGAGAGATAAGGGTTCAGATAAAGAGAAACAATGTTTACAGGAGTATGCTGAGAGGTGAACAGTTCTAGTGAAAAAGGGATTTGGGAAACTAAAATCTGACAATGAGTATCATAAATAAAATAAGAGTACATGTCTTTCAAAACATAGCAGCTTGGGTATTAAGCAGCTGGAGGGTCACCTAAATTGGCTAGAATTTGGTAACACAGTATCCCAGCTTCACCAAGGTACACAGGAAGGACATTTGACAGGAAAGTAATCTCCTACTTAAAGGAATGTATGTATTTCCTAGTCCATCATCTGTAGAAAGGTTCAGTTTCTGCCCAAAGTTAACAGAGGATTGAGACACATTCCAAACACAGGTGAGCAGAATTGAGTTAGGAATTCACAGGGGTTATTGATCAACAGAAGCCATTCAGCTCAAGAGTCATGATCTGGTGGTAAGTTTTAGAAACCAAGAAGAGACCAGTATCTTAAGATAAAGAAACTAGCAATGTGAAGTCTTTATATCCAGAATAGCGGTGAAGTAAATACAAATTGTGAGGAGATCAGAACACAGCTGATGTCCTTCAACCTGAAATAAATCTTTTTCTGAGACTTTATAAAACATTTTAGCTGTGGCATAGGAGTATTTCAGAGAGAAAACAAAGGATGAAAGTATCCAAGTTTGTAGCAGATAATATGGATCTTGTGATATAATGATGAAAAATTGTTAAGATCATATTATATGGAAAAGTTCTCCAGGAATGGCAGGTGTTCTCAATTCTTGGATATTACCCTGGTAAACCATCAGCACAGGTCTACCATAGGTGATTGTTTTGATTCAGTTAATGATACACTTTGTCACAGAGATGACTTAGGATTGGTGCTATAGAATGCAATATACCTTGTGAGTAAAGGAGAAAGAAAATGGAATAACATTAATCAAATGTCAAAGAAAGATCATGTGTTCACTAGGCCTTCCAAAAATAGGAACAAAACATAGAAAAATGACCTAATGTTTGAATGAGATAATAGTGCAATTCATTCACTTATTCATTAGCTGGCATTACCTATTAATTCTAATAATTTTACTATCAAAAATTATATTTGAAAACATAGTGATATGGTAAATTATGATAAAATTATGCTATAACTCTTGAATTAAAGAAACTTGACTTATTATAATCTTGAGTTGGAATCCTAGAATTTTATCCATATAAATTTTAACAATAATTAATATTTTCTGTGTGCCAACTATAAGCTAAATTATGTCCTAAGTGCTGTATACACATTTTTTCATTAAAATATTTCAGTTCTCTAAGTCATATTCCTTACATAATTATTTGTGTGATGTAACAAAATTATTTATAAGAACACTTAATACAGAAAGTAATGACCAGGAGATTTTTATGGAACAGAAAAACTTGATACCTTCTCCTTTCTTGTGGTCTCAGATTAAGCCTTCCAGACAATAGGGTCTTGAATGACCAGGTCACTATGGATATTTATTTATTATTATTTTTACTCACTCATTTTAAAATTGGCAGATAATAGTACATATGATGTTTGACACATACATACATTGTGGATTGGTTAAATCTAACCAGTTAACAAATGCATCTCCTCATGTAGTTACCATTTGGGGTGAGAGCATAAAATATTCACTCTCTACACTTTTCAAATTACAATGTATCATAAGCATATACAGACACTTTGATTTAAAACAGCTCTCTTGAAATTTACTCCTACTAACTTTGATTATAATCTCCTTATTCCATTTTTCCATTCATGCTAGACCTATGTTCTACCACTTGAACTACATAACCAGCCCTTTTCCTTTCTTTTTTTTTTTTGCCTCCTTGACATAAGTAGCAGGGATTACTGGCATTTCATGCCAGTAATGCCTGACATGATGCCAAGCAGTCACATTTTCTTTTCACTTTTATTCCATGACTTGGATACCTCTTCTGTATCCTAAGGGGATTTTCTTAGTGAGAAGCATTGTCTTGAAGTCTCAACAACCGCTATTACTCAAAGGATGGAAAGCAAACTAGAGTAACCACAACAATTCAGAAACAAATCATATATATATACATATATATGTATTTCTATATATATTAAAATTGGAAACAATTACTTCCTTGAAGTACATAAAAGAAAGGAGACAGGATGTGTATACAATAAATTAGGAATTTAAAAATTAGTGAATATCAATTATTTATATGTCAAGTAATTAATTCAGTAATAAAATAGGGAATGTGAAAAGAGAGAAGAAACAAGAAGAAATTGAGGAATATGGGAT